TAGGGACAGGGGCATTCCCCCCACCCCCCGCCCCCAATACTCCTAACAGGCAGCTCATGCTGGGACTTTTCTCAGCTCTTTGTCTCTCTGGGATTAGATCCTCTTGGACTTCCCTGGCTCTCTGCTGCTGGATACGGCCTTTTCTGCAGCCCAGCCCTTATCACAGCGTGCTAACTACTGGGTTCCCTGTTAATTCTTCTCCCCATTGCAACGTGTCCTCCCTAGGTCAGACCACACTCAACCTTGCCTGTGACACACTTGCTTCTCTTACAAAACTAACTATGTGCATTTTCTAGTTTATGTGCCCGGGCTGTCTGGCCTCTGCTTCCCACCAGTCCTGCTGTTTTCAAGGACTCTCACTCTCTGCCTGGCTAATTGCTTCCCAAGGGAGGCTGCAGAGAAACTTGGAGCTCCAGCGAGGCCTGTCCAGCTTGGCCTCTATAGCTGTTGTCTGGAGCTGCATGTCCTATTGGGGCTTGCCTTCTTGCAGCCTCATTGTAATTCACGCCAGGATCTCAAGCAGGGACCTTAGTCTGCTAATAGGAAAACTCAAGACTGTGGAGAGAAGAGTTGGGCTCAAATCTGACCTCTGAAGGCCATGTGGACACAACTGGCTGGAAACACTTTGATGTGCAAATTGCATTAGAGCTACTAAGACAGTACAGAGGGACACTATGTTACGGTGGTCCTGAGGATACTGAAGAGCGATTCATAGACATAGCAGCAGAAGCTAAGTTTAAGGAGGGTTTTCAAAGGGTAAAGGGCTTCCCTCAGTGTTGCTGGGAAGTTCTCTCTCAGAGCACTAAGGCTGATGGTTACAGGACAGAAAACATGGGTGTGCTTCTGAGGTAGGGTGGCTGAAAGAGTCCAGAGAGGGTGACTGCACTGCTCAGAGTCCAGGCCCCACCTGAATCTACCAGTGCTGTGTTCAGCCCATGCCACTCTCACCCCTTCCACCTCCCCATCCCTGGGGCATCCTTACCAAAGGCTCCAGCTCCCGATGGTCAACGAGGCTGAACTCCCTGATGAAGTAGTAAAAGTGCTTGTAGCAGGTGTTGACGTGAGCCTCAGCACCCATGTTGATGATGCTGTCAAAGTGGTGGATGTAGACATGGACAAAGACACGGAAGAGGCGGGTGAGGATCTTAGTGCATACTTGCTGGAACTGCCTGGGGAAGGGAACACCTGCAAAGCAGAAGCAAGTTGGAAGCCATTTGACTGTTTCCAAAAAAACCAGCTAGTGTTTAAATGTCACTGTCATGCTTAACAGGCAGTTGTGGATGATGAGGAAGGACTCCCTTGGCTAATGTCAAGAGTGACAGCTACACCGGGGCAATGTGCCATCTAGCTCTCCCCACATACTTCCTCATTGCCCAGCTAGCAATTTCACACAGGCATGGTCTGAGGATTTGGGGAGTAGCCCTAGGAGAGAAAATTTCTCATCCAGTAGAGGAGGCCACGTCTCTCCACATCTGGCTCTATCCAGAGCAATCTGGCAGAGGATCCTTCTGCCCTGTCTCCCTGCCGTTCCCCTGCAAGCCTGTGCAGGCACAGCAAAAGTCAAATTGTATTTACCCAGGTCCATGAACAAAACTAAACCTCCTCCCAGCAGACAAAGTACCTTCCCTGGTCCTCTGAATCAAAAGCATGGTTCATACTGTTTTCCTTCCTTCACACCCTCAAACATCACTTCTGATGCATCAACAGAAACAGGTGGGGTTTCTACCTTTTTTCCTGATCCTTGTTTCAAACAAATGTCTCATTAAAACAGGAAGAAAACTGCCCATCTTAATGATGCTTAGGTTGTAATTTCATTGCACCTGTATGATGCTCCCTCCTGAGATGTCCTCCCAGGTTGTTAAAGAACAGGACCCACCACATATTGCTCTATACTTTTAGCCTTGTCCCACACAAGGACACAATTTCATACTCTACAATTCCATCCTTGTCTAAATGCACTGCTATCACAGTGAAAATCTCAGAGGTGTGATACAGTCAGTGTCAGCAAGCTTGGGGTATATCTCTAAAGGAAACTTGACTTTGAAACCCCGAACATATTTTTTGGGAGGAGGAAAATGAAACAACTGGAATTTGTTTTCCTGAAGCTTCTTTCTCTCCCCTGAGCAATTCAATGCAAATTTGCAAATTTGCAAAGAACAAAATAAAAACCTCCCTTCCCACGGTTGTACCAGCCTCCTCCCTTAGCTTCTTATTGATGCAGCACATAACCTCTTAAAAATCTTTCCAAATAATCTTCGCTCAACCATGGCCAGCTCACATATTTTGCGCTGTGGAAAGCAGCAAACCTCTTAGCTAAAAAAATTAAAAATGGTAATTTTATCTTTGAATCTTTCTCATCAGCCTCGCTAGGCAATTAAACTATTTTTCCTAAAGGCTCCTGGCAGTTTTGTTTCCCAGCAGCAGTGTCATGCCCCTCTCCTCCGTGGGTGGCAAACACAAAGGATCTGACCCTCCAACATCATGCGTGGAGCCTGTGTTTTCAATGGCCAGGGTTCAGCGGGTGCTGGGTTCAGTATCGCAGCACTCGTAACAGAAAATGATATTTGGTCTAAAACAGTCACCCTCAGCCCAGCCCAGTCTCACTTCGCTTCGTGCACAGTGTGGGTGCGACGGGCAGGGCAGAAGCGCGTGTGCTTGTGCCACACGTGGATGTCCCAGCCACCGCTTGGAGGAGGACACGTATCTCGGCTCAGCATCACACAAACACAGAGAGATGGTTTTGAGACTGATTCACGGCCACTGCTCTGCATAACCACAAGCACGCTGCAGCCCCAGGGCTGCTCCCACAGCAGGGACCTTGGCATGACCCATTGCACTGCCATCTCTAACAGATCCTGTTAGGACTTTCTGGGAAAGTTGTTCACATGTGGCAAAGTATAACCAGGCTCTCCCCATGCCAGCAGCTTAGAGAAGGTACTGGAGATCTGCTTCTGCCCTGCACCCTTGACTGCGTAGCTCTCCTTGCCTGCCAGTCTGATAAGGGCAGGAATCAGAGAGAGATCTCCGGGTTTCCCTGCAGTCAGGAGGGACACGGTGCTTTATCAACGGCTTCATTTGAGCTTTTTGCACTGAGTGAGAATTTGCTGAGCAAATAAAAGCCTTAATCACCCAGCTGAGGACTCAGACATGCCATTAGGGTGGACCCTGCAGAGAAGCTTTGAAGAACCAGTCAAGGGACATTTTTTTTTAATAAAGAAAAATTCATCACAGTAAGTAATTTCTGATGAGCACACATTGCCGGGCCCCGGCAGGGGAATACACACTGTTCTGAACAGCCTGTCTCCCTGGGACCAGAGGCGAGCAGTCGCTGCCAGGAACTCAGCAAGGTGCCAGCAGGCAGACAGCAACGCATTTGTTACCTCCAGTTTGTCACCCATCCCACTTGCCTAGTGCCTCCCTTGGTCAAAGCAGGCAGCGAGGAAGAAATCAGACCCGACCAGCCACCGGGAGTTTATCGCCAAACTGTGAAGAGTGATAGTGAAGGAAAGCAGCAAACCTCAACCCAGTCCTGAGCTGAGAAAGAAATAAGGTCAGGCAGTGAACAGCAGATCAAAAGGATCTCAGACTCCCAGGGCTGATAGCATCTATGATCCAGATACTGCTGTTGTTAGATGAGCCACCTCCAGAGCTTGCAGAGAGTGACAAGTGGCTTTCCACCACTTTTGTCCTGAGGTTAGCCAGGAACCATCTTGTCCTATAAATCAGTTACCAGCAAGTCTTCATGGACATCCTGGCAGCTGAGAGACTTAGAGGGGAGACACCTCCAGCTACATCCTGGGTTCTCCAAAAGCAGCTCTTGCATCAGGGAACAGACGTTTAGCATAAATCATAGAATCAGAATCATAGAATAGTTTGGGTTGGAAGGGACCTTTAAAGGTCATCTAGTCCAAATCTCGTAGCCGTCAGCAATTATGGGAGCTGTTGAACTAACCTATACCTAATGATGCCTGGAAAGATATAATCAAGCTGCCAGGACCTACAAGTACCCTTCTGGGCTACCCCACCACTGTGCTTTCACATGAATCCAGCAGCAGCATCAGCTCCCGGGAGGTGAAGCTGGGCTGCTCTTCTTTGTGTCCATCACAAGGTGTCAGTGTGTGGCCATACCCTCCAGACACGGCCAGGCTGTAGTGGTGGCTGGCTGTCACTAATGAACTTCTACAGGTCACACATCACCCTACCGTGTCATGACACCACCACCCACTATGGTCCTTTGGGTCCAGGGATCACTGGGGTCTGACTCTGGCTCTTTCTCCCCGCATCACCCCTCTCACTCGCACACATGCCCAGGGAGGCACGGGCAGCCCCAGCAGCACAGGGCACAACCCTGGGCCATCAGGTCCTGCTTCCTCTGCCTGTGCTGCAGCCACATCTGCACCTTCTGTGCCAGGACCCTCAATACAGGCTATGGATGCTTGACTGGACCCTGCGTCTGGCATGGGGGCCTGCGCCAGTTGATCAAAGCGCTTCCCCCTGGGAAGGAAGCAGAGCAGATATCTGATAAGCAGGTTGCCTCCACCAGCAGCAGTTGTGCCTTGCTGCTGATCTCCAGTGACTTGGAAAGCAACCCACAGCAGCCCCAGCAGGCACTGGCCACACTGGCGAGGAGCTGGAGAAATTCCCCATCCCCTTGCCAAGAGCTGAAAGCAAAGGGCTCTCCAGTAAAAGCTGCATCTGACCAATCCGGGGAGAGCAGCAGAAAGATCTGGCATAAATACAGCTTGCCCTGGGTCAGGGCTGCCGGCGCAGCAGCTGTCCAGCAGATAACGCATGTGACATCCTCTCGAGCACACGAGGGGACACAGCGAGAGCAGGTTGTGCCTCCTCCCTGCAGCCAGGCACGCATTGCAGCCAGCACATCCCAGCAAGGGGAAAGCCCTGGAATAGGGATCTTGGCACTGGCCACGCATCTATCCTGCCTTTGCAGATGTTTAGCTTTAAACCGAGCAGCCAGGCCCCCATACGTTCATGTTGAAGCCATCCTGGCTGCTAGGAGGGGTCACTGTGACAGCAAGCAGAGAGCAACAGGGCCCATTCCCCAAGCATGTGGGGCAGCACCCTGCTCCCGCTGTGGGTCCCACCTCCCTGCCAGGCTGGGCCAGGCAGATCAGCATTACAGCCAGCGGCAGAGAGACCCCATTAGTGGCCAGTGCGCCAATAAGCAGCACTTGGGAATGGGGCAGTGGTGGCCCTTGCTTGGGGGACTCTCTCCATCTCTGAGGTGGTGCATGGTGGCATGAACCAGCAGGAGTAGCAGCTTGGTGAGACGAAGGGAAGAGGCTGGTGGGACTGACTCTGCATGGCTGAGATGACCCATTAGCAGGAGCGTGGCGGGCCAGGGGAAAGTCAGGATGGAGCCCCAAGTTTTGACAAACCACCCTGGCACTGTGATATTTCTTGGGTTTGCTTCACCCTCCCCAGCCCTACACATGGCAACCCAGCAGTGCCATCCCAGCATGTCCCACTGATGCTGGTCCCAGCTGCCCTAAGGGACAGCAAAACACCACAAAACTCATCTGGGCTGATTTAAAGGCGTTGAAATTACCTTTACATTTAAATCACTGGTGCTCACCATCCAGCAACCTTGGAGGAAGCAGCCACAAATCCACAATCTAGCCCCCCTCTGACTCTTACATGATGAGCGACGAGGCGGGGACCACGGGATGCAATGTGAGCTCGCTCAGATGCTGGGAAAAACATTTATACACAAGGTCAGCTTTTTTTCTCTACCCATGATCAAAGGCATGCGCTACCCAGACGCTGCACACAGACCAGACAGCCGGCGGCTGGGAGCATCGCCTGTCTCAGGGCGGAAAGACAGCCCGATCCCAGGAGGAGTGGAGCAGAGCAGCCATCCACAGCGGCAGAAAAGGGAGAATCTTACTCATGCTCCAAGCCAGGGCAAAAGATGTAAGTACAGCAGGTACAATTTCACCCACTGCAACGCAGCCAGGGCTCTGGCGAGTGGTCTGACTCACAGCCCTGAAATGAATTAGCACCTTCATTTTATCTTGGATGTTTTGCTTGAAAACCCCAAGATGTGATTTAATGCTTGAAGAAATCTGTTTTCCCCACTCTGTGCCGATTGCTTCAAAACATAAGGAAACCATGTGGGACCATGTGTAAAAGGAAATGAAAATGAGAGGTAACAAAGTGCCTGCGTTTACAGTAAGGGACTGCGAATGGCTCTTGGATCTTTCCTGCCATCTCTCCCATCCCTAACCCTCGTGGTCCAGCCGATTCAATTTTTTCATGATGAATCAGTACTGGGAAGCTATTTTGCTTCTTGGCAATTGTATTTTTTTCCTCTACAAAAACAGTAATTCAATGAACTACATGATGAATTATTGTTGTTGTTATTATTTCTCAATTCCATTTTGGCCACCGTGGTGTTCGGTGATTCATTTTTTCCTAAAAATAAGTCGTGAAAGCCCCATTTAAAACTAATGGCATGATGGCAGCTGCAAGCTGGCGTGATGTTAATTTTGGAAGAAAATAGGCAGAAAAAAAGACAAATCATGTAAAAAATAGCCAGCTGAGAGAATGACAATAATTAGCTGAATTCTGAACATTTTTCTCCTGTTGTTATGGGGAGAAAGTATTGGATAATTTCACACCAAGTTTTCTCTGTTTTTTATAATTGTTTTGGGACCACAGTTGAATGGCAGAGCTTGAGTTTTGAAAAGCTTTCCAAGAACTGTTCCAAAATCTCCTGTGACTGATGCTCTTCAGAGCCACAGGCACATTTGGCAGAGAGCGCAGGGTGTTTCCGGCGCTGGGTCTGGTCCAAACCCTGCGTCTGCACTGATTTAATAATGGAGAGGTTTCAGCAGCCGCAGTGGTGCTGATGTAGGACGCCTAGCCTTGTGCAACCTGCAGCCTGGTGGCCTGCTGACGGGTGCCGGTGCAGCCGACTGCCACGGGCCCTGCAAACCCCATCCACCCAACCCTCCTCCCCAGCACACTACCGCCCAGCAGCAGCTCCCTAAAACCAGGCACCACGGGGCAGAACAATTACTGGGAGGAGACAATATTTTCCAGGTGGTAATTTGTTCATGTGGCCACTCATTGAAGAAATCTATATAGTTTTACCAGCTGGTAAAAATACACCTGTAGAATCATTTATTCTTCTCCCTGCATGGGAAGAATGCTTATTCTCCATTTAAATGTATTTTTCAAGACAGCTACACTGGTTGGAAGAGTGGAAACAGAGCGCTAGCACATGCAAACTGATACGGATCATCTGGGAAAGCTGCTGCTGCTGCTGTAGATTTATAGCGATCAGGTTGGCATAGCTCACCCCATGCAGGGATTTGTCTCATCTTGACAGGCAGACAAACAGGTTTCCACGCCAGAGGAAGGATTATACAGCAAAGCCTGTAGGTGGATTTCCCTGGGGATGGGGAAGATGCAGTATCATCCCCTCCCCCCAACCCTTGCTGTGGTACACAGAGGGCTTGGCAGCCCCCCCGGCCCCATTAAACCACCATAGGGATTTTCTACTGGTGCAAGCATGCCATCCGAGGGCTGCAGTCCTGCTGGTTAACTCTGCCAGGTCACAAGCTGCCTGCTGGCGTCGGGCTCCCTTGCTGCCGTTTCCGATGTCAGCTGCCCCTCGGGTCTTGCTGCAGAGCCAGCACAAGCTCTGCATCACACAGTTTGGCTAAACCGAAGGTGTTTGTCAGCCAGGTCGCTCTGCTCCCCTCCCAATTCTACAGCTCTGACACATGCCGAAGGACCAGATGCTTTAGTGGTGCAAATCAGCCCAGCTCTGCTCCGGTCACTGGAGTTGTGCCCATTTACCCCAGCCAAGGTCTCCCCCATGATGCCAAAGGGCCCTGTGAGCCCACAAGCCAGTGAACCATCTCTGCTCATTTGCAGCTGAGCCTCTCACCCCAGGGTGAAGGATTTCCCCACTCTGACCCATGAAATACCTCCCCCTTAACTGTCAGGACAGCCATGACTGAGTGAGCCCTGCTAAATCATGTGCTGCTTCAGGCTTTGTAGCTTTTGGATGGAGAGGGATGCTGAGGTTAGCCTCAGGCAACGTTAGCAAGTTTGGGGAACACTTGCTGTTTCTAAAAAAAGAAAAAAAAAAAGTCTTTTGTCTGCGGTCAGGTGGCCTTAGCCAGGGAAATCTTTGTGCTGGGACAGTTTTATTGCACGTGGCAAAGAGGGGCCAGGAGGGAAAGCTGAGATGCACACAGCTCATGAAACGCCTGCTGAGATGGTGGTCGGCTGTGCCAGTGGACCTCTCCAGTGCGAGCAGGAGTGGAACAAACCTTCATGCTAAATCCCACCTCTACTACTAATATTAAAGAGCCTCACCTCAAACCCAAAGCTTGAAATTTATTTTTCCCTCCATCACCTTGTCAGATTTCTCCCCCTCCTTAAAACAGCTCACATCTCCCTTGTGTCCTCTCAGTGCCTTATTCGCCTTGTCCTGGGTCTTTTCCCAAGGGGCTGGCTCTTTAGGAGGGAGGCCGAGCATCCTGTTTGCTCGCCCTGGCTGCTGTCCCCAAGCCCTGTGTCCCTCCCCGCTGTGCGTCCCCCCAGCCTCCCCCATCATCCGGCACGCCGATGAGGAACAGCCCGTCAGGAACGGGCGGATGTGACATTTCCCTTCGGCCAAACACCTCCATCCTCTGAAATGCCAGAGCTGCCGAGCAATTACCCGGCGCACAAGGCAGGCCAGTGAAAGGCAGTTAATTGGGGACATGCTGATGACAAACTGCCACTGGCTCCCTCCTCCTCCTGCCGACAACAACCACCTTTCATACGTTTTAAAGTGAGATCTCAGGCTAAGTTCCCTTTTACATGTGTGAGGCCAGAAGCACCAAGACACACCAGCAAGGGGACTGGTCACTCAAGGGCATGAGGGCGTCCCCCCCCCAAGAAAGGGGCTTGGAAGAGAGACACTGGGAATGGCTTTGGAAGAGAAAAAAATGGGTTTGTCCCACAACCGCCTGCAGCCAGCCTGGATCCCACCCAGAACCACCCCTGGGCCAAAACGAAAGGAGAAGTGGAAACCAGAGGCACCAGCCGTCCCTCCTCACATTGGGATCTGTTACACCTCAGAGGGAGAAGTGCCAGGGACAGGGTGAAAACTAGCAGGGACATGACTGTACTTGGTTTTTGCACCTATGAGAGAGATGTGGGAGAGTGGAGGGTGCTGCGATGCCGCCATCCCTCCGTGGCTGCCTGCTTTCTGCAGTGTTAAGAGGCCCTGTAGCCCTGACTCCCCAGAGCAGCTTTCAAGCAGCATCACATCCCAAATCCTACCTGAAAAGGCATGAAGTTGGACCAGGACACTCTCCTTTCTGGCCAGAGGGAAAATGGAGTAAATCCATGTCTGCGCCCCTGCTTTTAACAGCACGCAGAGCTTCTCCTTGGGAACAAGCCACCTTGGAAAATGGAAGATCCAGCCTGTACCCTGTGGCTGCCGTTTCACCCCTTGGCAGCAGCGAGCCTGTGCCCAGCTGCAGCCAGAATCAACAGGGACGTTGTTGTCCTCAGCAGAGCTGGGGCTGCCAGCACGGAGCATCCTGCACCGTCACTGTCAGCCAGCCACACACTTCCAGCCTCCTCTGTCCACCGGGATGTGTGGAGCCCACTGAGTCCATGAGGGAGGGATGCCTCCATGGTGCAGCCAATGCCCCTGGTGAATCCCAAGGGCTGGCTCCCCCACATGCCCTGAAGGCAGCCTGTCTGCCTGTCCTCCAGCATGAGGATCCGACACTGCGCTACTCAGACCACTAGCAAGGGGAAGAAGGCAGGTCTTGGCTTCAGGTGATGGAGGGAGAGAAAAAGGGACCCCCAGAAAGCAGGTTGTGCCACCCTCACCCCAGGCATAGCCAGTGCAGCCAGGTCAGACCAGGGGTCTGGGGAGTCACCCCATCCCAGAAGGCTGAAATTAAGGGTTTGGCACAACCAGCCTGCAGGCGCTGCCTCCCTCTCGCTTGCAGAAAGCCGCGACCCCTCTGAGCCTCCAAGGGCCGGAGACTTTCCCAAAAAAAGACACACAACTAGATGCTACAGCACAGCCAAACAGGGCTACAACAGTTAGTGACAGCCAGTAATCCCACACAGGCTATTTTCTTCAATGTTTCCCAGTGTATTAATGAAAATCCTGAGCCTAAACTGCACTGATTTCATATGGCTCTGTCAGCTGTGCTACTTGGGAAAACAAAGAAGGTCAAGAAGTCTTGCAAAGCCAGGTGCTTCCCCCCGAAGCTCCTTAAATCTTCTTTTACATTCAAGCAGCTTTGCATTTCATCTGAAAAGCAACCACTCCATGGTGCAACCTGAGGCTCTGGCAGCCCCACCACTCAACGCATCAGCTCCAACCCATGAACTCATCTCCCCAAACTACAAGAAAGCAGCTAAGTAGCAGGGCTACTATCAGCCCCAGCAGCTGCCAAGCGCTGCAGGTCAGCAGCAGAGGGGTTATTTTGCAAGCTGTCTTCCCTTTGGCAGCTGCTGCAAGCTCCTGAGGCCAAACTTTTTGAAGGGATGCATCGTACACGCTGGGGGTTGGCAGATGGAAAGGCCAGATCCTGCAGCAGGCATCTCTGCTTGGGCGATGCCTCAGCTAAATAGCAAGATGTGATGTATAATCAGGGCTGAGATGAATTAGCAGAGAAGGAAAGGAGCTGAGAAGTGGAGCAGCAAGGTGGGACGAGGGTTAGACCTTGGGAGCATGAACCTACCTGGAAAACCAGAAAGAAATGGAGTTGGTTAGTCAAGAGAGGAGTACGCTGTAGGGATGTGATGACCACCTCTAACTAGCCCTGAGGCTCAGCTCCTTGAGGAAGGGCAAGGGAGCTGATGACCTACCAGTCCTCATTTCTCACAGTCACAGAACATGTGGAAAAAGTTCAAGCACAGAAACAAACAACATTGTTTTCCACATCCCCTAGGAGCCGGACAAGGAATCCCAAGCTCAATTTGCAGCAAGGGGGTGTGCGATGGACACTGCGGAACACCTGTAACAGGAAAGGCTGCGATCCTTGGGATCGCAAAGTTCAGCCATGCCAACCCTCAGGTGCAACGAATGGCTGGGAACTTGCACCAGTTACAACCCCAGCCTTCCCGCAAAGAACCAGAGCACACTCACCTATCCTGGTGGGGAAGACGTCCTCGTTGTTAATGAGCATCTCGATCCAGTCCATCAGCATACACATGTACTGCGGGGCCGACAGCTTGGTCGGCTTCTTGTACTTGCTATCATCCTGCCACCTGTACTCATACTTGAGCCCGCCCGACATGATGGGGCAACTCTTCTCCGTGCAGTACTCCGACATGGTGCCGTAGATGAGGTTGATGCGGTTGAAGAAGTCCACCACATGCACAGCGATCCAGTCATTGATGCTCTCACCAGGAGGCAGCTGCACCACCGCTTTGAGGTCCAGCCCAGACTTGAGGGAGGCCTGGGCTTTCTTGTACAGCTCGAAGCGCTGGGTGCCCGGCTCAAACTTCTTTCGGGGACGAAACGTTTTGTCTTTGTTGAAGACTTGCTTGAGACACAACGCCATCATGGGCAGGGCCAGCCAGGGTGAGGGCAGAGGCTTGGCACAACGTGAAACCCAAGGCTGGGGTCTTCAGGGGTGGAGGTTTCTGGGAGGAGAAAGAGAAATTTTGGTCACCTATGAAGGCAGCTGCATGCGTGGGCACGCTTGCAAGGATGAATTCACACCAGGATGCTGGCTGGCCCCACTGCTGTGTCAGCACATGAGGAGAGAGATTTGGGGTGAGCTCCTGGCCCTTCTACGCTCACTAAGGTGACCTGGAACAGCTGCTGCCACCTCACACAGCAGCTCCCAGCACTGGAGAGGGCCAGCACTGCTGCGTGTGCCCCATGCAAAGCTCGATGGCAGACAGAGCCTCTCCTCCCTCCTGAGCACGCCGGGAGCTCATTGGGCTCCACCCAGCCTCTTACCTCCAGGACTTTTATGAATAACTGCTGCAATAAAGCGAGAGCCACGGTATCAGTGGAGCTCACCAGCCCGGACAGTCCCAACCTGGTGGCCCTTTCCTCTTCTAGCAAAGGGGAAGCGTCTCTTTCCCAGGGATTTCTCAGTACAAATAACCCCTGACCCTGCCGCGGCGGCTGGCGAGTGATGCCCTGGGGACTTCGCTGCGACCGCAGCTGGCTGCTGGTTCACACAGCCTCAGCGCCGAGATCAATGGGAAAAGGGGGGATTATTTTTGTTGTTCTGCCCTGTGTGTTTGTTCAAAAGAACAAAACCTGCATCCGAAGAAGGGAAACGGCAGCCCAGCAGAGCAATGCGACGTGCCAGGATGCGGCCGGCCCTCCAGGCATGCACACAACGCACACAGGAGCAGTTGGGATGGCGAGCCGATGCTCCGGGTGACTCGGTCTGGAAGTCACAGCTTGGCAAAGCGCTGAGCTCACCCCTTCCTGCCCGAGGATAGCAGCACAGACGAGGGCTGCAGTATTTCCCTTTTTTTCTTTTCCTCCCTGAAGCTCCCGTGGAAATCCCATCCATCCCAGGCTGTCCCAGACAGGCTGAAATACGCTTGTGCATTTAGTTACCTGTGCTCATTACCAGTGAGATCAAGGCCCCCTTGTGCTAAATGCTTTGCTGAGGCTTAGGGAAGAGAAGGTCATCCAACAGCCTCCCCCTGATGGGAGGAGATGGAGAAAGAGTTAAAAAAAAAAAAAAAAAGGAAGAAAAAGAGTCACGGAAAAGGGAAGTGACTTACCCAAAGTCACGAGCAGGAGGGAATGGTGCCCAAGCCAAACCTGGATGCACGTTCATCATTAAAAAGACAGCTTTCAGCCAAAAGCTTTCATTCTGTTGATAACACCTCTAAAAAAAGCTTCTTGGGGAGTTTGCTAATGCATAACAGTTTCTAAAATATATATAAATATATATGTATGTATATGTATGTAACTACTGCAATAGGGATCCTAATCTAGTAACGTAGGAAGTGCCGGGCTTCCCTTTGGGATGAGGCATCCAGCAGGGTCTGCCTGTATGGAGGTAGACATGATGGGGCTGAGCAGTGCCTGGCCCTGCAGCCAGCGTGGAAGGGAGGGGGCCAGCAGCGCCTCTGGTGCTTTTGCCCCCCCAAAGCACTTGACACTAACTGGCTCTGCCAGCAAGCCAGGACATGGGGCTGTCCCTGCCCTGCCACTGTCCCTGCCTTCATACGTGGATTATTTTTCCTCTCTCTCTCTCCTGTCACCAGCCAGCGGCAGAGGGCTCTGGCTGAAACATAAAGACCATTCAAATGAGCAAAAATAAACAATCGTGCACCTAATGAGAAGTCAGGATTTCCCCGTCTGACACTTGGCAGCTTCCCAGGATGGGGATGATGCAGCACCCACTAATCCGTCCTGCAGCTCCCTCATCCCCGTCCTCAGCCAGACCACAACCCCCAACAAAGCTGAGCAGCCCCTTTGCCCAGCACCCAAATAAAACCCAGTGACTGCCCTCCCGCAGGGCTGGATGGGCATCACACAGCACCACACCAAGCCCGTGTCCTCGATCCCTTTGCCGGGTAAATGGAGGATGAACAGATTTGTTATCCCCGTGTTAGACTGGACTGAAGCCACCAGGTCACACAGTCCCTCTGGGTTAATGTCAATACAAGCAGGGACTGGGATCTAACCCAGGAGGTTTCCCTGGGATTTCAGCAATGCAGGTTGTGCCAACAGACATTTCTCCATGTTGCCGTTTCTGCTAGCCTTGGCTCCATTCGCTCAGCTCCAGGAGCTACTGCTGTTTGCAGGCTCTTCCAGGCAGAGGCCATGTTTGTTCCGGGGTGATGAGAAGCCACCCTGGCAGATGATACCACATCAAACACATCGCTTGCAGGCGCCATCAGCAGTGAAATCTGTTCTCCATGAACATGGTGGGGTTCCCGTGTTCCTGTGCCTCACATTGAAAGTCCGCTACAAATATTGAATCACTCACTGGGAAGTAAACTCTGCATCTCATCTCCCGAAGCCATCCTACTGCCCTATAACTCATTCCACAACTGCATCTCTGCATCATCCACAACTGGATCTCTGTGTTACCCTGCAAGCTGCTCTCACTCATCAGGCAGGTGGGAATGCTTCAGTACCATTCTAATAAAACACCGGTTCTAAAAAAAAAAAAAAAAAAAAAAAAAAAGAAAAAAACCTGCTAAAAATCTGCCGGCACTGAAACCATCATGTGAGAATCTGGCCTGTTGGTTAAGAGGTAAATTTAAGAATGAGAAAGAAAAAAAAAAAAATAACCAGGTAAGAAAAAAAAAAAATAAAAAAAAAGAGCAACAAACCTGCTAAACATCTGCCAGGTGTTTTCCTACCATGCATCTGTTAGAGATTCCCAGGAAGGGGGGGAGCAAAACCCGTTGCTGCCGAAGTGCTCGGAGCAGACCTGTCCCCTGAGCCTGGGGGATGCTGGCACGGCACCGCAGCCTCTCTGCTCCCTGGGCAGCAGCGCACGCTGGAATAACAGGAGTGGTTTTGCTTTCAGGATCCTCGCCAGCATCACTACCAAATTACCAAGTCACTAAAAGGCCTTGCGAATCCTTACTGGAGAAAAATGTTCTCCAGAAATTAAATTTAACACAAAGCCAAAAACACATCCTGGGATTTACGACCCAAAGAAGCAGGGAGAGGCGCCAGGCCAAAAACCAGATTTCTTCTCTACCTCGCTCCAAAGCTTTCTGCCCAGAGAAATTAATGTGCAGGGAAGGATGTGAGCAGCGTAGGGAGGGAGCTGCATGGAGGCCAGGACTGAGGCTTGAAATACCACCTATGGCTCTTGCAGCTGGGGCACTGAGATGGGACATACCAGCTCGGAGCCAACAGGCTCTGCAAAGTCACCAATGCCTCAGTTTCCCCTCGGGCAGGGACCCAGCACCTGGCCCCACTTTCTGGGGAGAAAGGCAAAGTCCTTTGGGAATGGACCCAGACACATCCTGAGTCTAACTGGTGGAAAAGGGCATCAGCAGCGAACGCAAGACCAGATGCACCTTTGTGCATCCAATTCAGCCGGTGCTCTTCCATCACTGCCTGAGTACTTGGGACAGGTCCACATAAAGAGACAGAAAATGGGAGATCTTCCAAGGTTTAGCTGCGGTGCGGAGTTCAGCTAGGCCCGACATTCAGGGCTGTCGTGTTCCTAGAAATCAGGCTGTGGTCCGTTGGGGCTTGGGGTGGGACAGGAGACCCGTCCAAGTCCAAATCGCCACTCGCACTGCCCGTTTTGGGAAATCCGAAGGCGAGCTGCCATTCAACAAGCTTAGACAGCAGCTTCCTACGACATGACCGTACACATCCCGCTGCCGGCCTGGACTGGCGCCGCAGCGACAACCTGCAGGTTTCTGCCTTTGGTTCCCATGTGCAAAATCAAAGCTTCCCCGAGAGGGGCCTTTGGCAAGGGCTGCAACCCCACTTCACCATGCCGCAGTTCCCATCACAGGGTGGTGCCAGCACCCCGGGGGTTCACACATCCCTTTCTGAAGTATCTGCAAACCCCCAAATCAAACCTCGTCTTGCTCCCGGGAGCAGATGGGGAGTGAAGCAGGTGGCCATGGAGCCAGAGACTTTCCCCGCTGTCACCCCATGTCCCCACTGAGGACGACTGGAGGAGGATGAACGAAGCTGCCGGGCGGAAAGAGGCCACTGCTTCCCATGGGACATCCACGCCGTGGTGTGCTCAGTGCTCACCCCCATCCGCACGCCCAAAATAGCCTCGGCTTTGCAGAGGGCTGGCTTCAAACCCACTGAGCAGACGCAAAACCCCGTCCATGGCTGCAAAAGCTGCTGGCTTCAGTCCTGCCCCTGTTTTTACCAGCGGCAGCAGAAGCGAAACTCGGTTGGGTTTAGCAAGAACCAGATAAACGCAGGGTTAAGCTCTGCAAGGGCAAGGCAGAGCCGCTGCCAGGGACGTAGCAGGCAGAGACATGTGAAAAACTGATTTCCTAGACTGCTGGCAGGTCCAGAGACGAAAGGAAATGAACTGGATGGGGGGATGTAAGTTCAGGGTCAAACTAAGCCACTAATTTCAGATTTGAGGGCTGTTTTGGTTTTTTACTTAAGCTTTTTTTTTTTCTTCTTTTTTTATCATTTGAAAACCATAGAGGAACATGGCAAGGCGAACGCTTTGTTGTAAATTAAAAACAACTCTGAAAGGTCTGGTTAGAAACTGGCAAAACAAAAGGGGAAAGCAGGCAGAGCGGTGGGAGGGGGGCTTCCTCCCTCACAGTCCTTGCAGGCGCAAGGCAAGGTCACCAACAAAAACCTCCAGTTTTGACCCCAAATAAGCTTTAGTCAGAAACCCAGCAGGAAGGATCAGGTAGACACACTGCCGGTCGCCAGGGTGATGGGCACCGGGGACGGTCCTGTGCTCCCTGCCTCAGTTTCCCCAATTTCAAAACTCCTCTCCCTCCCTAGACTGCCTTTATATTAAGGGCTGCAAAAGCAAAGGCTTCAGGGGAAAAGTGCTTTGCAAGTCCCCGTGGGAAGCATTAATGATCGTGGAGGGTAAGGGGAGAGGAAGGCTTCGACGCCAGC